TGCATTTATAATATTATAATGACGAATTAATACGATAACGTGTTGCGAGATGGCGAGTGGAGCGGGGAGGGGGGGGAGCGTGTATACAACGATAATATTAATGTTACACGCGTCCGGGACACAGGCGACCGAAACGGTTCAATCGTAAAAACGTGATTTTTTCTGGCGACGGACCAAAGTGTTTATAAAACAACGTACAGACGAAACCCTCCTAAGACGCGGTTAACGTTTCCGTACACGTGCCGGTATCCGTTTAATCGAACGGTCTTTACGCGTCTCGTCGCGTGACCGCGGTGTCGTTTCTCCGTCCGTTCATTTTTATGTACGAAATAACGTTTTGTTTTTTTTTTTTTTGTTTTTTTTAGTAAAACGTCGTCGTACATCGTTTTGCCACCATTAAAAATTGTTTTCGCCGAAATACCGTCGCGTCTCGCGTGTCCGGTTTCTTTTTGTCTTACCGGGTACCCCCAGCACTGTAATAGGGCGGCGCGGGTCGTGGCGAATAGGAAGCGGCGACGGGCGACGCTGATGAAACGAACGGCCGAGAAAACATTACGCAATCGCACTACGCCTCGGCGTACTGCGGTAAAAAAAAACAAAAAAAACAATAATAACAACGTTTGATAACGGCCGACGATTAATTAACGGAAAAATCGCGGGCGATCGGTTCGTGTTTACGTGTATTACAACGTGCTCGTCTTATACCAATAATTAGATAACGCGGTGTACACAACGGATATCCTGTTTTTTGCTCTTCGATTTGCTTCGGCGAACTCGCCGCGCTAATGGGGATTGCGCGACGCGTTTCTTTGTGTACTTAACGAGAAAAAAAAAAACCAATATTATTTACCTACCGTAAAATGGGAATGACGTCATTCAACAGTCGAACCGCCCGAACTATCGTTTGGACAAGTAGCTGTATAGGTACTTTTAATATTTATTTAAGAACCAAAAAAAAAAAACGACTAATTACCCAGACCTCGAAAATGCCGTACGATTTATTGATATTTCTCTTTTCTTTAGGTACTTAGAGGTAAAAGAGAAAGAAAAAAATGTATAAAAAAAATCCCCTTACGAGACAAATACAACGGTATTCAATTATTATTTTGTCTATAATATCATAACGTTACATTTCATCAACGCGCACACGTCTAAAAGAAGATAACGCGGTCGTTGCAGTATACATAGTTACGTAATAAACAATCTTTTGTTTCCTATAAAAAAAAAAAAAAGTCTATATGTAATTCGTGTTTTTTTTTTTTAAACAATTTAACGTGCTAAACAAAACAACTCTTACAGAATTCTTTGTTCGTGATTTTATTGAATCTACGGGCAAGCACAACACGGTGATTCGAATGTTTTTTTTTTTTCCAAATGTTTATCCATATCTGTTGTCACATTCTATCAGTCAAACAACGGTTGCGTTTCGTACAGTTTACATTGAAACAATAATATTCTTATAATAGTTAGTTGGCGAGGACTTGATGGTTTCGGGGTGCTGAACCGTCTTAAGCGCCTTCCCCCTATTTGCCCCAGTGTACTTGACTGCATTGATTTTACGGACGTGTTATCGATTGCACAGAAAAACAAAATAAGAGAGAGAGAGTGAGAGAGTATATTGATCGTATAAATTTAACAACCGCAGTTAATAACGAATAATTAGGACGCGCACATAAAAATGTATCAATGGGCAATAATACAGTTTTTTTTTTATACATTTTTATTTTTATCATAATGATAATTATTGTATGTTTAGTCGGTCCAACGAAAATAAATCAAATTTTATTGGCTTTCGTATAATTTTACGTGCGGCTATAATCATTGTATTTATTGTCTGTACACGCGTATACCTTATTATAATGTTCCAGAGTTTTATTATTGTATTTTCTTTCTCTGTATTTTTATTGAAAAAAAAATCACTTTTCAAAAACTTTTAACGTAAAAAAAAAAAAAAAAATACTTTTATTATAAAATTTACCGTTTCGAGGTCATGCGGAAACACATTAGGTTTAATGATATACATAATACGATTAGTAGTATTGTATTATGTAATATGCTTTTGACATAAAGTATAAAATAGGCGCGTAGGTATATTCATATAGATAATAGATAATAACTTTATGGATTGCATTGATTCGCTTACTTGTTTTAAAAAGATTTTAAATCGTATAATTTTTTAAATTATGGGAATTTTTGTTTTTTTTCCGTAGTTAAAATTGTGAACCATCACTAGACACGGAATTCAGTTGACCGGCGTCTTTCGAAAATTGCAGGGGCAGCCCAGGAAACCCTAGGCTGCCACCGTAGACACGCCTATGCCCTCCGCTATGTGCCTACGCCGCTGCGGTCTCCCGGACGTTTTACATTTTTGAGACACGATCTAATATATTAGCCGTCCATCGAATAATTATCATAGTCTCTCTATATCACTTTGTATCCGTTATTTAAAAGTACCATTTCGTATCTACGAACCTTCGGAAAAGTAAAATTTGGTACAACCGCCTAGAGCTATCGCGGTAACTATAGTTCTCGTTCGAATTCACACATTTTACTTTTCAGATTTGCGTGTACGTTCCAAACATGTATAGATTCCGGGTTTTTATCGGCGCCCGTTTTCGTGAACTGTTGCGGATAAGTGTTGTATTATTTTTACATTCGTTGATTACACTGTTACCGGTTAACCTAATTTCTTCAAGACAGGTATCGGTTAGCCGGTTGTCGGGTATCGTAAAACATAGATAATTATAGGTGTAATTAAATCTTGCGGGCCGTTTATATTGTGCGTATATAGTAGGCAATATAATAATAGTATGAAAACCAAACCCGGTAAAAAAAAAAAAAAAAATTAACAATAGATAATATTTTTTTATCGATTTAGAATTTCGGTAAATATTACTATTGAAGCCGCCTACCTATACGCCGCGATAGGAAATACAACTGATCGGCAACAATGATAATTATCGGTAACACACATAAAATGAAAAAAACATTGTAAATTATTCCGTTACCTTTAAAAAAAAAAAAAAAAACTATTACATTAATACCGATACATAACGTTCGCCGTGACGGGTCTCGTGTTATAAACAATATTATTTCGACTGCGTTCGGTCAAATCAATTGCGATTCACAGGAAAAAAAAAAAATTAAAATTAAAAATCTGCTAGAATTCCAAATAATATTATTTGAATGTTATAAAACTATGTGTACATACGTATTCAGGACGTATCGTTACGGAATAACAAATAATAATAAATACGACGATATTTTTAGAGTAAATACTAGAGGAGCGTAAAAAAAAAAAAAACATTCACAATAAAACCGATAAATCAACCGCGATAATTGTGCACAATCGAAATAAAATTACGCGTTATTTTTGTTTGATAAAAACGTCCACAGGTATCTCTTGTCATTTCAATGATCTTTTTCGGCAAATTTAAAATAAAACTTATTCCGGGGCTATCGATGCAAAATGCGATTTTTCCCGCGATTTACAGCGGAGCAGTATGTTTTCCGTTCCGGGCTATGGTAGTTTTAATACATTTGTTTGGCGCCTATCGTGAAGTAAAAAAAAAACTTCTTATATTGTTTACGAATTCGTTCCTTTCCGGTTCAAAGGTCCGCTCAAATCGAAGCGGTGTCGGCAACGAGAATATGACGTCCGCGCGTTTTAATACGGCGCACGCACTATCGCGAAAACCGTACCGCAAGGTCAAGTGCGGTTTTTTTTTTTTTTTTAATAATTATTCGCTTCAGACACTATAATATTTAGCGGTCGCCACTGCGGTAATCTGCTGAAAATTCCCAACACACAATATATTGACATTTTATTATTAGAAAGTTTATCGGTATATTTTATGTTATACTTTGACTTCGTATACGTCCGCCAGTTCATAATCGTGTAAAAATAATACCTAGCGGTTAAATTTTCATTATACACAGTCGTCGAATGCCGTTTTCTAAATCCAACAAAAATGACAAATAAAACGGAACAACCGTTGTTAAAGCGCCGATGACCGAGCCAACTTTTTATTATTTTTACCTTTAATCCCGTTTTGCTTTGCCCGTATCAGCGCATAGAACGGACGAAAAAAAAAAATATGCGGAAAGCGGGTATAGTCGGCGGTTTATTATTTTATTTTATTTTTCGTTTCACCTGTGTTACTGATCCATAATTCGCCAAAAATTATTTAATTTTCGTACCAAAAATATCAAAACAAAAAAAAACCGTTCATCCCCTAATTCGTCCCCTGCTAGTTTTTATTTTCGCGGCAAAAAATTGGCCTTTGTTTTTCTCCGTGCAAGTCCCGTCTCTATCTATACCGAAATCCGTCAACATCGGTTCAGCGGTTTAGGCGTGAAAACGCATCAGACAGACTTACTTTCACGTTTATGGTATTACTAAAGATGAAACTTTCTGATTTGAAAAAAAATACAACCGTATTGATTTGCCGTAATGCGTATTATACGCGCGTGGATGTCGACTATTCGCCGCCCGGCGAAATATTTCGCTCCGACCAGATCGAGCGGGTTCGGCGAAGTAGCGAGGTAAATACCGTCGAAATCACCGCCACTGCTACCGCTTCGGTTTGAGCGGACCCCGAGTCCTTTGACGATTTACTTTTCGCGTTTTAAAATCCACACCTCACGTCTTGGCGAAGTTGGAAACGAGATTAGTACCGGCGTTTTACGAAAACGCATTTGTGCAGAGCCCGATGGAACGCGTCAGCGCGTACACGAGTTTCGATTAAATTGCGTACGATTAAAAATATAATGTATTTGTTAACGTGTTTTCTTAATATTATATTACTGACAACCCGAACACCAGCCCGATGCAGTCAGTTTTTCAGCGAATTACCACGCGTAAGGTACCCGGTACCTGTACGTAAAATACATTAATATTTAATGGCATTTGAAATATTCGTGTTTCGGAGTAAAACGGACAATCGACGTTTTGTGTTTTGAAAAATGCCCCCGACGGACGGAACACGTTTTTCAATAATCGTTTTCTGTGCCGGCCGTTTATGCTCGATAATAAAATGCACCGTTCGATTCGCCCGTTCGCCACACGAATCGATAGTGTAATATTTAATGGCCGTAAAAATGGAAAAATTACCGACGTCCTTCGCGTGTTTCCAAGTGATATTCGTGTAGGTTAATTTAATTAAAGGAACACCACGTCCAATACAACCGTCCGCGTCTTACGTACGGAATTTGCGTTCGGCAGGACCGATGTCGTGCCGTTATTACTTTCGATATTATCAGAGTGGACTGACCCGTTACCGGAATTAAAGGCAAGAGCAGCGTTATCCGCGACTATGTCTATCCTACACCAGCGTTATTCTTTCGATATTTTATTTTTTAAGCGACACATAAACATTCTGAAGTTGTGACATTTCGCACACTCGTATCTCGTTCGAAAACTAAAATATCGAGGAAAACCCGACGTCGGAACATAATGTTTTTGAGTTTGATGATAGGTCAATTCACTGTGATATCAAAACTAACGGCACCGTACGTGTCCTATTGAACGCAAATTTGCCATGTCGTGCGTTTGTAAGAGTCAATGCGAGTTCTCTTTAAAAAAAAAAAAAACAAATTATAATTTCACGTTAGTATAATATTTAATACGCTTTTTTTTTAATTTTCCTAAAATATTCCATGATCGTTTGATTAATTACCTACTCGGCTATAGCGCTGTTAATATTTCGTACCTTGACGCGTACCATAAGAAATCACTGCGACGGCGGGCGTTTGGACAGATAAATCAATAAAATAACGATAACGACGATACCTATACAATTTTGAATTATAATCAAAATATTATATAATACACTCAAACGGATACAAATCGTACTTCGTACTAAACAGTATTATTTTGACGCATAAAATAATATATTTTGTATTGTGTAATTACTATTACTGCAATAATATACACACTGTGTCTATACATTCACGTCACAATAGTTTCAGTCGGATCGTGACGGACGAATGTTTACAATTATTATTTTTATTATTATTAAATTCTATACAATTTGTTCGAAAACGGTATTTTTTCGAGACGAGGACGAAACGTGATGGAAGTTCGTACATTATAATATTACCATTATTATTATTGGTAGGTATATTAATATCGGACAAAACTAAAGGTTTTTTTTTTAGTAATTTAGGTGTAATGTTAAGTATAAGTAATATTGTTTGTTACTGTTGTGTATAATATGTATATATATATATAATAACGTCACGGAGAGGAAATAAAACAAATTGAAATTCATCGAAAAAAAAAAAATGATTTTCTTTTTGTCGACTAGAAACTATAGAAAGTCAACCCAACGTTCGGGAACCACATCATAAAAAAAAAAAATTCGTGCTCGTATTTTTTACCTATATACAGCGGGCAGGGGGCAAGTGGTATCGGGGTCGAGTGTATATTATACGGTTGGTGGTCGATTCTTTTTCCGAGCTTATATTATTGTGTATATAAAGTGAAGGGAATGGATAAAAAAAAAAAAATAAATAATAATAATACAAAAAAGAGGCACTTGAGACGTCGAACGAATCTATTTAGTCATCCGGATAAACGAGTCGTGAACACTATACCGGAAGTTCGATGAGATAAAAAATATATACCTATGTATATATGTATATACGTATAATAATGTGCTCAATTGTAATTCATCGGGCGGCTCCTTGTATACTTTTGTGTCGCAACGTAGACGTGATGCTAATTGGAGATAATCTAATAAAAAGTAATTATGGGATTTTGTAATTTTCCGTATTCTTTATTTGTATTTATTATTCGTTTGTTTAACGAGTGAGTGAGTGAGTGAGAGAGAGAGAGAGACGCGTTACAGAATTTTAACAACGTTTTTTTGGCACCTATTTTTATCATAATATACGGTTTTAGAGTCGTAACATTTTTGCGAATTTTTTTTTACGATGATGAATAATAAATAATAATAATATTATAGTTGCAACGGCATAATACGACATTAATAAGCCCGGACGACACGCTTCGCACCGTGGAAAGTATACGACGCGAACGATTCGGAGCATTTTTACTAAACGAAATACCTACAGTGTTTTCCGAGAAAAAAAAAAAAACGCGTATTTTGCCAAAACTAACATATTTTCTTCGCCACACACTCGGCGGAACGTGGAAATTAATTCGATACCGTTGGAAATTCGCGGCTATTATTCATCCGGAATAAATCCCGCAACGTGATAGAGTCATCGAAATATTGCGCAAAAATTATAAATGATTCACCGTATAAAAAGTCTACCGTTCGCCGTTAATTTATAATATACGAACAGTTGTTAACGGATCGTAAATATCTACCCGGCAGTATCTATTTTCGCGCAACGCAACACTCTCGCGAGTGACCGACGTCTCGGCGACGTAACGTTATAATAAAACGCGCGTGTATAGCCGAGCGTATAGCATGCGTAGGTATTGGCACGTTTTTGATGAGAAGTCGGCTCTCGGTGGAAATATTTTGGCGGGCCCGTGACAACGCGCAGGGACAGTGGCGTGATGAACGCGTCGCGGTGTTTCGATTCGCGGGCAAATCGGATTATCGATCCCCGCGGAAAACAAACGCCGCCCCGGTCCGCGGAGAGTGTCGACTCGATACAATACTCTACTGCGCGTTGCTAATAAACCCCCGTCGAAATTACAACGTTGTCGCGTGTGTAAATGCCGAGTACAAACAAAACAACGCGTGCCGAATAATATTGTTTCAGCGCCGCGCGCTATTGGTTCCGCAGACCGCGTTCGGAATTACGGGCCGTAATATTCGCCGCGGACAGAGTCGCCGATTTTCGGCCCGCGTCGCCGCGGCACACGGATGCGGGCGGAGTGAGAACGAAATCCAGGCCGGGGAGATTAAAATGTATTCAGGCCGTCCCCGAAAATACGTATAAACTACACGCCGAACAAATTTTTCTCGCGCTTCAATTCGAATCGAAGCCGGGATTTTGAACTGAGGGGAGCTAAATGCGTTCATGCTTGAGGTACGGCCGAAGACAAGATGATAGTAGACGATGGGGAATTTTCACACCTGACGAATTTCAAAAAAAATGTTTCCGTCCATGTACATCGTTTGAGTGCAAACTAAAATGTATAGGTGGGTATACTGGAATACGAGTATCGTAATATCACATGTGTTTTGGCATATATTTTTAATAATTGTTTAAATAATACAATTATAAGTCAAATACCAGGCTAGAAGGCCGCGATATACGGTCCGGACCATCTGTAAACATCCCGTTTCCAGACCGGCCACTCCGTCCCTGGTACAGGGTCTTCCGAATGGTGCGTTCCGATTTTGGAACACCCTGTGTCGCAATAATATTATATTCGCGTTGTGCCCCGCGGAATATATTAACATATTTAATCTAATCTGCGGTCACACGGTAGTTATAATATTATGACGTGTATTATATTACTTAGGCGTATTATAATTATTATACTTTATCTTCATGCGTGCCGTACTTATATACCGTGTGTGGCGAAGGTAAATTATTTAATTAGCCAGGTATAACGTTTAATAATAATATGGGAATGACGCGAGGCGGGCAATTTACTTTTGAAAAAAACCACGAGCCCGTGACTGCGGTACGCATCACCTATATATCTACACGAATACAAAAAAAAAAAATAAAAAATAGAAAAAAACAAATTACACGTATATTATATACGAAAAGCAAAAAAAATAAACCAATTTCTAACTGGCCGTATCGGTGACAATGTGTTTTTACTGCGTTTTTAGGCCTTTATTTTTTTTTAAAAAAAAAAAACGACTGCTATAATGTATAAATGAAATTTATACGACTTTTATGGTATTCATTTTTTTTTTCGTTACCCTCGGCACACCTGCTGACCACTACAGCGTGCGTACTGTACAGCACAACAACAACAAAAAAAAAAAAAAAAAAAAAAAAAACCCGGGAAAAAATTAAAAAAAAAAAAAAAAAAAAAAAAACGTACCTACATATATTTAAAAAAAAAAAAAACACCAACGCACACGTATTTTATTTATTATTATATTCATATACACATGCCGTTTTACGAATTATTGCACACGCACACACAAAACCGGATATATTTTATATCATTTAGCCGTAAAGAAAAAAAAATAATAGTAATAATAATAATAATAATTTATTTACATATGCGTGTTTGTTGTCCGACAGGTTCTGAAAGAAAATAATAGTGATAACAACGACAATTTTGCGCGTCGTCGTCGTCATGCAAATGAATCAATGATTGTATAAAAACCACGTTCGTCACAAAAAGTAAATTTCACTAAGGGGACACAAAAAACTATTTTTAAATCCAGAACGTGATGACGCGTGTAGTTTTTACGACACACTGAAATTTCAGACATTATATGTAAACACTGCACGTGGAACAGTCGGACAAACGTGGTTTTTACACACAGCCTGCATCTGTTATTATGCTCGCAGGCGACTAAATAACAAAAAGAACTAATACTGGGGTTGGGAGCGGTTATTGTTGTAGGTGAGAAGTTGGGAAGGTAGGATACATGAGGTTATTTCATTTATATCTGTAAGCAACGATAAACCATTGCTTGACGAAAGACGATTCCGAGCGCAGTTCGGTAATACATAATTTTTGTGATTTCCGTTTAAATTTGATTTGAAAAAAAAGTCGTCCGGTGATTTCGGAAATTTGACCATGTCTAGGTAAGTCTAATGTAAGTATTAATACCAAGTTTCAAGTCTCTACGTGTATTTATAACCGAATTACAGCAAAAAACTCCCAAAAATTAAAATTCCTTAAAGCTCAAAAGTGGCTGAAAAGTTTTGGCAACCATACCGTAAGAAAGTAAATTAAAAAGGCAACAAAAAATATATCTTGTGGTTTTTCTATTAAATCATTTTTTTTGGTAGGAAACGTCGTCCGTGTTTTTATAAAATAATGAAATCATGAAATTGTACGTTTTTTCCCACTTAAGTGCTTTTATTTAAAAATGACGTAGAAAATCTAAAAATGTCGTATCTTAAGTACAATCTAGATAAATTGAATTTTCATAAAAAATGCTACACGTAAAAATCGGAGCAAGTTTACTAGGAAAAAACGTGTCCACAGACTAGAACAAAGAAAGAAAAAAAATAAAAACATCTTAGTACATAGTAAAACCAATAGTTTCTCTCGCTACGCTCGGAATCTAAAATAAAAACGATTTCGTTCGAAAT